ATTTATTTATTTGTGAATCCTTACCTCTTAAAGTCAAGAAAATCAATTATATATATATATATATATTTATTTGTGAATCCTTACCTCTTAAAGTCAAGAAAATCAATTGGAGAGTTTTTTGGCTGGCCAATGATAGATTTTTCAAAATAAACTGCATCTATGTTATAAGGTTGTTAGCTTTTTCCAAGGTTGAAAATGCAAATTATTAGAATAAGCTCTTATGTATAAATGGTCTAGAGCAAGGTTTTAAGAAAAAGGCGGCTGTTCTGGATCACCCATTCGAATTTTTTAGTTGGTTCAAGAGATATGCGATTTAGATCAAAGAACGGGTCATTAAAAAATAAAAAAAATAAAAAAAAATTTGCAAAAAAAAGGTGGGGTTGGTTTTTACCGAATTTTCATCGTAACAAAATCAACCTGCTAGTTCTTTCATAGAACCAATGTGAAAAAATGAATAATTCGTGATATTTAATATAACTACGTTAAGGCGATTCCGATCCGATTCAACATTTTTTGAAAAAGGTTTGTACTTGACCCATCAACGTACCTTCTCTCTTTATCCCTTCTACGTGTTTCTCTCTCATTCTTTCTCTGTAGTCCACAGGACTTTTCGTGATACAAATTTTAATTATTAGAATACATTTATATGTACTCCACAGGACTTTTCGTGATACAAAGCCAGCTCTCTTTCTCTCTCATCGTACAAAACCACCCTCTCTCTCTCTCATTGGTTTTTTTTTTCAGAAAAGCTTCAATTTCGACCACCCTTCATTGGATCTTCCAATATATAATTTAAAACGACATAAATCCGAAAAGAAAAAAATATACACACAAACCAGCGGCCTTCCCCCGGCTCTCTCTCCTTGCAGGGTTTGGGCGATGCACCCTCCATTAACCTAATTTGCTCATGTTTCTCATCAAAACCAGAGTTTCCTGTGATTTGAGCTCACCCACGAGTATACGGAGATATAGCAGGGCCTCCTAGGGCTTTTTATATGCGGAGATATAGCAGGGGCTTCCTAGGGGTTTTTTCTCTGAGATATAGGTTTTTGACATATTTCTGGATTCGATTGTAAAGTTTTTGCATTATTCAGATCCAAAGCTACCAGATCACAGGAAATTCCAGCAAAGCATTCCTTTTTCCTCTGATTTTTGGAGGTTGAGTTACGCAAGTCAAGATGTTTTGGCGTATGGCAGGGCTTTCCACTGCTTCTCCTGTAAGTGATTCTCGAAAACCCTAATTTTCTATTTTTATGGGATCAAGAGAAAGACCCCCCAACGTTCTATTTGCTTGATTTACGGGTAGCTTTTATTGTCTTTTTATTGCTACATTTTATTGCTTCATTCACAATCAGAGAACTTTGTGATTTATCCATGTTTCTTTTTGGAGTTAGTGAGCTGGTTTTCTGCAATTTGCTTGAATAGGTTGATCTCTGAATTTCCCCTTTTGCTTTTGAAATATAGAGAAAGTTTCATGCTTTTTCGATTCATGGTTGTTCATTAATATGCAAATTTTGAACATTAAGAGATTTCTTGATGAACCTATGTATAATGCTTTTGGCCCAAAGGTGTACTTTTTAATCCTGAATGCGAGGGGTTGGTCCATGTGTACAGATTTGTCCTGGAATTGTCTTTGAGTGTGTAATGGATTCATATATCTCTAGTTGAATGGAGATTTTCATGGTCTGTGAATGTTTTATCAGGGAATTTGCAGGAAATTTGTTTAATATCCATGCATTAACATAACTTTTAAAAAAAATAAAAAATCCATGCATTAACATGGTAGTTTCTGTTGGAAGTATTGAATTGGAATATTGGTGGAGTTTCCATGTGTACAGATTTGTCATGGAATTGTCTTTCAATACCTTGTTTCTGTTCTGTAGTCTCTCCTCTGGCGGCACTAATACTACCAGCCTAGTGTCCAATTTTTCCTTTTAAGCATCTCCCTATTGATAACATTTTGTTATTCGAAAAAAACCTACGAGGATCTCTTATCTTTGCTTTCTCTCGTATTTGCCTCTTGTTACATACATCTATTTTTGCCTGTGTTATTTTAGTACAACTTGATTCGCACATCTGTCAGTTAATGAATGAATAGTCACATGTCTGAAAATATAGTAATTCGTATGTGCTCTCTATGTTCACCTTATTATTAAAATTTTATGAAGTCAACTTTATTTGATAATGTTCCGTACCTTTATGTTTGTTAATTCCCTCATGAGCCAGGGAATGTATTAGATGCACCTAAAGTCTTTCCTTAGTTTATGTTATTCAAAATTTAGGGCTTACATATTCTGATTAGGCTGAGGACTCACTTTTGTCTTCACCATCAGAATTTGAATTTTCTGACACATCTCCTCACGAGCTTATCATTGATGGTCTTGTGAAGAGCTGTGTATGCTGTTTCATAAATCAGTTTCTATATCGTTGTATTTAATATTTACTTCCATGAAAGTTTAATCCTAAGTTTAGAGTTTTGATGCATAATTGCGACACTTCCAATATTGGGGTCTCCGTGCATGGAAGGTACACACCGTAGAATAGGGATTACACATATACTTATTGGTATTGACTATATTTTGTGCATATTATTTGTTATAGTTATGCAATAGTTCTTAGTAAAGCTTTGCCATTTCTTGGTGTCAAAAATGTTATGTGGTTAAGACTGTGGTTGAGACTGTGGTTGTTACCTTTGACAATTGCACCTTTTTTAGGTGGAGTCCATTCTGGACAAGGAGAACTTTACATTGGAAGAGCTTCTAGATGAGGACGAAATAATTCAAGAATGCAAGGCCATCAATAGCCGTCTTATAAATTTGTAAGATTCTGTAGTTCCATTGCCTCCTAGTGTTCATTTTCATGTAATTAATTTTGTTTTTAAAATAGTTGTTTTGTTGCTTAATCTTATTAACTTGTAACGATGTGGATGGCGAGTATGCATGTTGAATGTGTGCGTATTTGTGTGCATGGATTTATGGTGGGTGTGAAAACATAACTTTCATTGTGTATGTGTGCATGACTGTCATTTGTTTACAGAAAACTGTTCTGTGGGTTTATATTGAAGCATGTTTTACAACTTGTCAACACCTGATTCTTCTTGTAGTGGAACCTTTTCTATTTTATTCAATTTTAACAATATCATGGTTAGGTCTATTTTATCTTATTTTTATTTTTATTTTTATGTTCAACTCATTGAACTTGTTCTTTTTGAAAAAATTGAAATTTCAATCCATTTCAATGTTTTAATTTCTTCAAGTGTCATTGCATGCTTTACATGTAATTATTTAATTGTGTACATTTATTTTGGTCATTGCATTGGGTAATGCTTACAGTACAATTAATATTCAATCGCTATCCATTTTTTCAGTCTACGAGAAAGGACGCAAGTGGAACAATTGATCCGTTACATTGTTGAAGAGCCTCCAGAAGATGCTGAAAAGAGGCGTATTTTTAAGTAAGTCAATTGTGGACAAGAAAATGATTTTCATTGTCTATGTCTGATAAATCTTTGGATACCATGATATGTAGAGTCGTTGTTCCTTCTCGGTTGTTTTTTTTGTTTTTCTGAATGCATTATTATTATGTTGCTTTTCTTTATTGATGACTGTATTCTTTTTGTTATTATACAGATTTCCATTTATATCTTGTGAAGTATTTACTTGTGAAGTTGATGTCATACTCAAGACCTTAGTAGAGGATGAGGAGGTAAGTCATTTCAGCGCCGCTGTTGCATACTTCAAATTTGGAAGCTAGTTGATGAGGAATATTAGGACATCTTTTTAGTTCATTCTGTGAGTGAGAAATTTTTTACATAGTTGTGCAATATAACCTTTTTTGCGCATTATCTATTTTGCTATCTACAGTTGATGAATTTGCTCTTCTCATTCCTTGAACCAAATCGATCACATAGCACCTTATTGGCTGGGTATTATAGCAAGGTAACGTAAACTTGACTCACAAGGTTGTTTGTTTTCTTTTGTTCTATGGTTTTGTATATACACAAAAGTGATTTAAGCTAGCCCTGTGTTTTACATCTTAAGTTATTTTTCTTATTTTAAAGGTAGCTCAGGGTTATTAATTTGCATAGCACTCACATTTTGCCAGGTTGTAATATGCTTGATGGCACGAAAAACAGTTCTTCTTATGAATTATGTTCATGTAAGTTTTTATTCTTTTCTTTCAGTAGGAATTGTTATCTATAGTCTTTTATTCTTTTGCAATTATCAATGCATTATTGGCATATAGCATACATTTTGAAAAGTTACCTTGCAGCAGAATTCCTGAAGCTCACAACCAAAGTTATCAGCTTAGAGTGTCTTCTTTTGCTTCTTTTTCTCAAACCAAACCCTGGGTGCTCCTTGAGGAAAGAAATTGAGAAAATCTACCTCTCCAAAGAGCCTTACCCACAAGAAACCCTTGAAATCATGTTCCTCAAACATCTATGAAACGCTCAACATAATGCAGTTCATACAATCCTTAAATCCCCCCAATCTTTTAAAAGTTTTATAGAAATGATGTTTTCCCCTCCTTGGAGCTAATGCTGCGAAATTCAGCTGTTATAGTAGTCTTCACCATCCGTAAACATTGACTTGACTTCTCTTAATTGTTTCTCACCATTTCATTGCAAAATGAGTAGAGTTGAAAATATGAACCAAATATTGGTCAATTTCATGATTTGAACTTTAGGAAAGGAGTTTTGACTAATAGGTTTCAGTTCAGATGCATTTGTTTGTTGCTTGTGTATTCAATTTGATAGATGACATCTGACTTATGATGAATACACTTTATGCACAGGTTTCATACTGATACCTGATAATCCTCTGATACTTTTTAGTGTAACATGACAGAACTATAAAAATTATATTATGTGTGAAATATAATATCATGCATAATAATATGGAATATGCATGCATCGTTGTGTTCGATGCATAAATTGATGGAATATAATGCTATAATACAAATTTATCATGGCTTCGGATAGGATACTTGGACCCGTATCTTGATTTTGAGGAATGCATATTTGTGTCTTCTCTCTGTATCCATTCCCATGTCCTTCCCATTTTGGGTCTTCTTGGTATGTCTCTCCTTTTCACTTTACCTTCCTTTTTAGTTGTACTTTATACCCTCAGCATGGCTGTGGTATTTTACCATGCCTCACATTTTTGGCGTTGGTATCAACATCTTGTGTCTTGTTTCTGCTTTTCATTCTTCCTTTAGAATTATAATAAAATAGAAGGTTTGTTTTTAATGAAACAAAAAAAGATAATTCTTGTTCAATTTTAAGAAAAAGAAGGGATGATTATTGTTGCTCACATATTATTTCATAGTATTTGAATTTTTTGACATTTTGCTTGTGCAGGCTCATCAAGAAATTTTACACAAACTGGTCGATTTGATTGGAATCACATCCATTATGGAGGTCAGTAACAAACAATGCCAGTTCTGTTGTATTGCTGTTCTATTTTGTACCTAAAGAATTCAATTGCTTGTGGAATAGGTCTTAGATTTTGTGCATATGCTCTTAGTAGGAACCTTGGAGTTTATCTTTATTTTTTATTTTTTTTGAACTGTTAAAGAGTGTTGACGATGTATAGGAACCTTGAAGTTTATCGTGTGGAACTACCGGTTTACCTGCAGCTGAAAGCTTTTCTAATAGTGGCTTTTCTTTGTGATTTGTGATTTCTAAACAGGTTTTGATTCGTCTAGTTGGTGCTGATGATCACATTTATTCAGATTTTGGGGATGCGATCCAGTGGGTAGCTGATACTGATGTGCTTGAGAAGATAGTTGATAAGTTTAGCTCTTCTGTGAGTCTCATTAACATGTGTATTATCGTTTCATGAACTTCTTGGTGGATTTCCTGTGTAATTGCCTGTGGCAGTGTCCATAATGGTTTTCCTTCCTTTTTGGGTAATTAGCAAATGTCGTTATCCATGATGTTTTTGCTGGAAAATATTTTCTCTTTCATGCTCTCACCATGTAAATTCTAGTGATCCTGTGATGAGCTCCTTAGGAAGCCAGCCACTTGTTTGCTTAGCCATAATCACTTTTTGTTGATCTCATGGACAGAACTCCCCTGAAGTACATTCAAACGCAGCTGAAATACTTTCTGCAATTAGTCGTTGTGCTCCTTCAGCATTGGCTACCAAAATCACTAGCCCAAGGTACATCTTTTTCATCATTCTACCTCTTTGACATTGATTTCCTTCATCATTGGAGTTTCTGTTGATTTTTTATTGTCTAATGTCTAATAAAAATTTTCATCGCTCTGTGTCATTTGTACAGCTTTGTGGGAAGATTATTTAATCATGCATTGGAAGATTCCAGGCCAAAATCTGTTTTAGTTCATTCTTTATCTGTCTGCATCTCCCTGTTAGACCCTAAGCGTACCACCTCAGTTCTTTCTGGTCACTTGCACCGGGGCCAACAGATCTATGAATCCTCCTCATTAGCTGCTAATCCTGAGACAGTTGATGGTATGCTGCAGAGGCTAGGTAAGTCATTCTATTTCCTGCTAAACGTTTTACTTATTTATGATCTTCTTATTCTCTTGCTCTTTATTTTTCATCTGGCATTTTCTCTTTACCAAGTGGATAAGGGGCTAAATCCGTTTATACCCGTTTCAACTGGCTGGTGCAGTTTGGGTTTTTTTCCAATGGCTGGTGTATCATGTGTACATTGTGTACAATGAAATTGTTTTATTGTTGCAAGGGTAAAATGTCATTCTGTCCCCAAACCATATGTGTATAAGTCTTGTTTTTTTTTTTTAAGAAATTGTGAACTGTAGGCTTCATTATCTATTTTATGGGAACATATGTCCAATTCTTGCTTTGGCATAATATTAGAGACCTAAAGAAAAGGGCAAAGAATCTGCAGTTTGCATTTGAATGTAAAGTCCTCCTTTCAAATTCTTCATGCTTCTTCATCATGAGAATGAAGATATTAGGTTCGCTCTTGTGGAACATAGAAGTGCTACTAAAGAGCAACAATTTCTCTGACATTCTACTTTAGGGGTTAATATCTATCCAACCGTTTGTGGCATTTGCTGTGAGGGCATCAACAATTTGAGCTCTGTTTTGCATGTTATTTATATGGTTGTTACTGTATTGGCATTAAACATTTGATGGATTTCCAGCTTGGCTTGTTATTACATTGAGTATAGGTTGCCTTGAAGAGTTGTCTGTTTTGAGTGCCAATGGTCTTCCTCATTTGAACTTTTTCATGTGCATTAGATTTCTTCCAATAGTTTGTTGGGAATTTTAATCAAGCACATGTTGTGAAAAGGAATATCCAAATAAACAATGTATATGTACATGTACTGTTACAGATCTGAATAGTACATACAAAAGGAAATGTATACAATGAGATTATTTACTTTTAATACAAGGAGGTCACATTCATCGTTGGCCATTAGATTTGAAATTGGGTGCTTGAGGATGTATCATTGCTTGGGCATAAAGTCCAAAATAAAATTTTTCAAATATTGTGACACTTTCATCTACAGATTTCATATCTAATGGCTAAAAATAATTGTGACCTCCTTGTAACAAAAATAAATGGACTCATAGTGTACAATCCCAATACAAAAATATGATATGTTTGGGATAACTCAGACATTGAAAAAGAAGAGCGCTTTGGATTAGTGCCCTGAAAATGTAATGAGCACAGTCATGATATTTTGATGCAGGTGATTTGCTTCAGCTTCTGGATGTTTCTTCTGATGAAGTTGTTTTACCTACTACATTTGGAAAGCTACAACCTCCCCTTGGGAAGCATCGTTTGAAGGTATTCTGGTTTGGATCTGTGATTCTGTGTTGCATTTGTCAATGATATTATTGTTCATTAACCAATTTATTATTTCTGAAATGAAGTTTTCTGTAGGTCTAATTTTCTCTGTGGTGATTATATTTGAATTTCAAACTTTCAGATTGTAGAGTTTACCGCAGTTTTGTTGATGACTGGTAGTGAAGCCTCTGAAAAGGAAATGGTTAATCTTGGAGCTATTCAGCGGGTTCTCAATTTGTTCTTCGAGTAATTCACATGTTCTCCTTTATGATGATCTTTTACACTGTTGAAGTTGGAAGTGCTTTTATTTATTCTCATAATGATGAGATTGCAGGTATCCGTATAATAATTTTTTGCATCACCATGTGGAGAGCATTATTGTGTCATGTTTGGAGAGCAAGAGGGGTACAGTTATTGAACATCTTCTCAAAGATTGTGATCTTGTTGCGAAAATTCTCAATGCAGAGAAGCATTGCACATTGTCCACTGACTCAGAAAAGGTGTGATACTTGATTCGACTTTGTTATTTAGATTTCATTTTCTTTAAAATTTTCCATTTGTAATCAGATCTCATCATCTTGTTTTGTTGATGTTTTTCAAGCACGTTGCTCTTATTATTCTTTTCTTTTGCAGCCAACCATGCCTGGTGATGGGAAATCACCACCTCGGATAGGAAACATAGGACATATTACACGCCTGGCTAACAAGCTTGTTCAATTGGGGAATAACAACAGTCAAGTTCATGCATATCTTCAGGTTTTTGACTTATTGCTTGTTTCAAAATCTCTTTGATGAGTGTTTTCGTTTTATTGCTTGTAAAGAGGAAGTTGAAGGATTTTGGTTCTTGTCCATTACACAGGAAAACAATGATTGGCTTGATTGGCAATCTAATGTTCTCCTCAGACGAAATACTGTGGAGAATGTGTATCAATGGGCATGTGGGTATGCACTTTTGCAGAAGTTATATTAAAAAAGCAACTATTCCTTTATTTTTTGTTGTATAACTTTTTGTATTCATTTATTTATTTTGAAAAATGTTAGAATTTTCTTTTCTAAGTCTTTAATGTGCAATTGTTGATTACTGCAAGGAATTCTGGAAACTGGAAACTTTAACTAACTGAAACTTCCTGAGGTTGGATTTTGAAAAGAAGAAAATATAAAATGAAAGATATCTTTTTTGAGACAAAGAAAATACAAAATTAATTTCGAGCATGACTCGCATGCTTTCCTCTAAAAGAGAAATAGAGAACCGAGTAACATGGCAACTTGACAATCATGCTGTTAGCTATATGGAGAAACTTTAAAGGTGGAAGGTGCAAGGTGTCATGTAATACAGGCAGGTAGAGGCTAAAATAGCATGCACAAAGCACATAAGACAAAATTCTTGGTGATCTTCTGAATTGTACTTGTTATGTGAGGCTGTTTTAACTTCTTGTTGGGCAAAACTTCTATTTTTCTGTTTTCAAATGGGTTTTTGATGGTATTAAGTGCTGCTTCCTATTCACATCTTTTTGCAGTCGACCAACTGCATTGCAAGATAGAACCAGGGATAGTGATGACGACGATTTCCGAGACCGAGATTATGATGTAGCTGCACTAGCGAGTAACTTAAGTCAGGCATTTCGATATGGCATCTACAGTAGTGACGACATTGAAGAGGTACTTAAAATTGGTGTTCTGTCCAATTTCTTTTCTAGGTAGAGTTCTCGTCCACAGGAAGTTTGCCATGAAAGTGTTTTTTTGCACGAGTTCTCTTCTGCCTCTTCTAGGAAAATAATTTATTGTGCCCATCATAATTTTTTGTCAAGCGGAATTAATTTGGGATTCTGGAATTTTCATTAGAGTGATCTTCAGCTTCTGGTGTTTTCCTTTTTTTTCCTTTCAGATGTTTCATGAATTTTCCTTCGCATTTCAAACACATAGATAGGTTGATATTTTTATAACCACCTTTGCAAGTTTTACGAGACTCAATATCATTGGGTCGTTTGGGATACTAGAATATATTTGTATTATATTATAGTAAATTATTATATTACACCATAATATTATTATATTTTTACTACAATATTATATTGTTATTGTGTTTTTATTATAAAACACAGTAATTTATTATGATATTTTATAATAATTATCATATTATTTATTATAACAATATTATAATAATTTTAATTATTATGATTTTTATTAATTTATTATGATTTTTATTAATTTATTATAATATTTATTAATTTTGTAATATTATATTAATACTAATAAATATATTATTGCATAATTATTATCAGTTTAATATTATAATAATTTACTATAACATAATATAATGATATTTATTATATTATTATAATATTTATTTATTATAATATTATAGTAAACTGATAAAATGTTATATGTAATTATTATAATTTGGATAGTATTAGATAACTATTTATGTGTATTATTATTATTATTATTATTATTATTATTATATGATTTTGGTTATATGAGTGTCAAAATAAGATCTGAACGGTCTAACTTCTTTATCGTGCTATGGATGTCTTATTTTTAAGAAATCATTTTATTTAGACATCAACTACTATAGAATTATCAACTTATGAAATGAACGACTAAACTAGTTTAACAGCAATTTCTCAAACCTTATTTTCAACTTAGTATAGCCAAACTGGGGATTTGTCCTATATTGGGTTTTTCTAGAAGCTAACCAAACGGCACTGTTGCTAAAACCAGGTTTTACATATGCTAGAATTTGCATACCCAGCTTTTCAGCCATATCCAGAATTTGTGTATCCAGGGGACCCAAACTACCCATATATTTGCTGTTCTACAATTCCCCTTCTTGAGATAGTTTTTGTTGGTTGCTCAACATCTGTAGCAACTACCTGTGACAAGATGAATATTGAGGTAGTGATAATTTATTATACTTTGCTGGATATTTAAAATAATGTGGTTTGCTGGTGACTTGTGCAGGCTCATGGTTCTCTTGATCGAGATGATGAGGTGTGTGCTTTGGTAGACTTTAACATTAATCACATCAGTCCTCCGCCAAATGATGTTTAGTAATTTTGACCATAAACTACTACTTGCCATAAAAAATATTTCTGTGCAAGAAAACATTTAAGAAGAGTATATGTTGCAGGATGTCTACTTTGACGATGAATCTGCAGAAGTTGTCATATCTTCTTTGAGGCTTGGGGATGACAGGGACAGGTAAACGCCAAGCCTCTGTATCTCTATTCGTGAGAGTGAGAGTGAGAGTGAGAGTGAGAGAGAGAGAGAATGAGAGAGAGAGAATGAGCATATACTCTTACTCTTTGAGTGCGCAGAAAGAGAGGAGCACCTCTCTATTCCACGTCATGCAGAGAGTAAAAACATGCATATAACTTGATTCCTTTGTGGCAGCACCTCTCTCTTCACAAACTCAAACTGGTTTGCTTTCGGGGACGACAGAATTGTAACCGAACCGACACCCACCTCCCATACTCCTGATGACTTTGGGCTCTTGAGCACAGGGCCAGCTGCTGTCAGCGGTGGCAGCAGTAGCAGCTATGACGAAGTCATTGTAGGCGAAGATGAAGACTTAATCGACACCGCCTCCTCTTCTCATATACCGAAGTCCACCTCCAAGCCAACATCCAAACTTACTTCCAAACTGAAAGAGCCCATACTTGAATCTACATCTGAACCCATATCGGTGCCTACACCAGAACCCATGTCTAATCCCATTGACGGGTCCACTCCTGAACCCATGGCTGAGCCCACTCTCAAGACTATTTCTGAGTGCACAGATGGTTTGGGGCCTGAAATCAGCCCTACCGAGAATGGCTTACTCACTGACCCCATGGATGAGCCCACTGTGGCCACCATGGACTCTGACGAGCCCCTGGAATCCAAAGGATGTAGGGAGATGTCGGAATCTAATGAAAATGTGGGTTCTACAAGTTCAGACCCACCCAAAGAAAATGGGGAGCCAAGTGAGCTCAAAACCAATGATCATACTTCTGACCCCAGTGATGCTGAGATTAACGTGGACTCTGATGCCCCTGGACCTTCGAAATCTGAGGGTGTGAAAATAGGAAGTGGATCAACAATTGAGGCCATGGAGCATGATTTGGAGGAGGGCAAAAAAGAGCAAGGAAATTGAAGCCTGAGAGTTGCCGGATTACCGAGACATTCATCTCTGTGGTCTGGGGTGTTGTAACTGTAAGAGAGAGAGAGAGAGAAACTTGTACATTTTGGAGATAAGGGGCTGGTGTTTATTCTTTTCATCCCATCCATCCATGGCTGGACTGTACAGTGGCTGCCCTCCCTTGTGTGCATGGGGAGAGCATCCATCTTCTCATTCTTATCGCGTTTTCCTGATTGTTCCCAGACCAGCAGTGCTTGGTCCTCGAGACGATTAATTATACTCTCTCTCGCTCTCTCTCTCTCTGCGCATTGGTATACACGTTTTCACATCATATGGACCCCAAGGAAAATATAATGTACTCAGAGACATCTCTCTTCACCTCTCTCTCTCACACACGCACACAAAACACATTGATACGCTTATAGCTCGTTTGCGTTTCACAACACAGGGAAAGGTAATAACCTGAATGAAAATTTATCAAAAAAATGCCAAGAAGCGATGAACTATTTAACAATTTATCCCTCAGGAACTATTTCAACTCGAGACCATATTGTATGTTATGGGCATTTTCAAATTAAATCAAAATATGAGTGAAGAGTTAAATTGTTAATTTTTTGTGGTAATTTGGTAAATTGTCCTAAATTGTGAATTTCTTGTGGGGATTATCAACGTACATAGAAAGCTTTAGTTGGGAATCGTCCACTTTGCCGAATTATTGTGTGCAGGTGCATGAGATGCTTATACGCGTGTGCAGTTTATCTGTATCTATGTGCAGCAGATGTGCATAGAATTGGTGGGGTGGTGGATGTGTCGTGCACCTGTACACTGTGGAACTCGCCTATTCTGGAGTGTTAAAAAACACTGGCTCGTGATGGGACTCGGTAAGGTCTCAATCCCGGGTCACCTGGTCGGACTCGAGCGAGTCCCAAGTCGGACCTGTGGACTCGCATATCCTGGAGTGTTAGAAAACACTGGCTCGTGATGGGACTCGTCAAGGTCTCAATCCCAGGTCACCTAGTCGGACTCCAGTGAGTGCCAAGTTGGACCTAGTTAATGTTGACCAGAGAAGTTTTGGTTCGGAACTCGGGTGAATCCTAATTTTCTGCTTTCATGCTCATTGGGCCTCTGATACAATTTGGTCGCTTTCATGTTCATCGGGGTGGACCCCTGATACAACTCAGTCGAGTCCCGTCCGAAATCTCCAATTAAATTATTCGAACACAAGTATGGATTGGTCCAACAATCATCTGATCTCAATGGACCTGGTCATGAACATGTTGATGCTTAAGATTTGGATAGCAATGCTAGCGATATGGAGGAAATTTCTAAAAAAACTTATTTAGCACTAATTCTGATTCTTACACTAGATAAAGGGGCTTCTCTTTCTTCAATTTCTGTTTTTAACAATGTAATCATTTTGCGATAAGCGACTTTCATCAATAAAATTATTTGAGATTGGTAAAACAAAAAAAAGGGTCTGGGCAGACCCCGACCTGAGTAGGTCTTAGTTGGACCAGGACCTAGGTTAGGTCCAAATCATTGGACTCGGTCGGGTCTAGTTGAGGCCAAGATAAAAGAATAATAATTTAATATAAAAACATTATGAGTTATGTATATAATACATTTATAAATATCAGGTCAAAGTCAACTCAAGTGCTTTAGGTCATCTCAACCCAATTGCCACTTCTAGTATATTGTCCGTGCTTATTTTTCCAATTATGCAGTATTATTGGCTATCCTACTCACTCTGCACTAGGTGCCATGTGGTTTGGCTCAAGGAATTGTTGTTAACTAGTATTTGACATAACTAATGACTTACCACACTATTGCCCTGCAATTTGTTTGTCCTTTGATCGTTAGATGTGATCAGGTAGTTGGCAGCATGTTCTTTTTCGCATAAAGTTTAAGAGAGACTACCGCTTGCCATCATGTGAAATAGAACGAGTAAATATCTGTCATTGATCATATTCAAAGTCAGAGAAGTTGTGTTGAGGACTTTGAGCATGCTCAAAACAGAAAGATTTATCAAAAAAGATGCACTCAATATACAACTGTTGTTCAACACGTACTCTCCCTCTTGGAACAAGTTAATTCTAGAGCAATTTTTTCATAATGCAACCAATTAAAAAATTTATATAAGAAACTCAATGCATTGATTAGCACAAAATTGGAACGATACATAAAAGATTAGCATCCACTGTGCGAGGATGACACGCCCAAATCAAGAAACTCAATGCATCGATTTTGTAGCAAAGTTTAACCGTCTTGTTAATTCAAATGACCTAAGATACCACCCCTTTTTCTAGTTACATTCAGTAAGTGCGAGCACTATTTTCTTGTAAGCGTGTGCAGAGTGCTCCCACAGGAGCATACTGTACAAAAACTTCCTCGGGCTAAATAGATCCTCTATAGAATTTCTTTTGATCCGAATTTTTGGGATTAACCACCAAAGTATTATAATAAAGAAAAAAAAATAGATTTTGACTTCTTGAAATCCAAATCTTCCCTTCCAAGAATTTGATGATTCTTATTCAATCTTTGGGTGGTCACCTTTTTTTTAGGTACATTTTTTTTTTAATTTTAAATTTGATCACTGGATTCTGAAGATTACATTTCCAAAACTTCAGGTCCTGAAAATACTTTTGGATTGTGTTTACCCATGAGGAACATGAAATCTTTTCACTCCTCTAGTAATTTGGGTTCAGGTTGCCCATGAGAAACATGAAATCTTCACTTTTCTAGTAGTTATCCATACGATTACTTGAATAACGTAGAGCCATTTCTTTTTGGTTTAATATAAAGCCATATCACTATCAAACTCATATAATGGAAACTCATATAATGGATGTCATTTTTGTATGCATACAAATTCAAAAACAAATAAATTACCTGGCCCCACCTAAACTCATCAACAGTGCCACAGTGGGCGACCTAGCCCAAAAGTACTGCCAGAATTGGACTAGGGTTGAGAATGGCATGGCCTTAGTGGTAATATTGCCGAGCCCTCATAATGAAGTCTCTGACTCTATTCTCATCATGGTTATGGGGCCCAAATCCCCGCTAACTTACCAATTTATAACATCATTTAATACCCACATCAAATTTTTTTAAAAAAGTGACAGCATCCCCATTCCTACCACTAACTCTACGCTACTAATACCTTCAAAAATCTAACTCCTAATCAACTTAAAAAACGGGTAAAGGCTGTCTTCTTTCACTGAATTACCAAAAAAAAAAAAACTGGACCCAACCCGTTTGGCCCAAGATTTGGCATTCTACATATACCCAAAAATACTAGGGCAAGCTTTCTATACTTCCCTTACAGCATAAAACTTATATACTTCCCCTTATCCAACCGTCCATTTTGAATGGACGGTTGATATGGCTCCAATCACAATGTCACGTCCTTACACTATTTTATTTTCAATTTTTTTATAAATTATTGACACCAAATTTTGGACTTCCACTTTTAAAATCGCACCTGTAAAAATATATAAAAAAATATTACCAATAAAATAAAATGACCAAAATACTCTTAGAAATTTTAAAAGGTATTATGATCATTATATTTTATGAAAAAAAATTTTAATATTTTTTTATGTGTGCCCCATTAATACGATCAAATTTCATATTCATACAATATATATAAATAAATAAATAAACTAAGAATAAAATACTCTAAGACGTCATATCTAAGATCAAATGGTCAATGACTCACTTAATCTAAATTGGACGGTTGAATGAGAAGAGAAATATATATCTTTTATGTAGTAGGGGAAGTATAAAAACCTTTACCCAAAAATTACATGTAAAAAAGAAAAAAAAACCAAAAACCACCAAACAAACACAAAAACTACTCACACACTGAGAAACAACATCAATTAAAAAAAAAAAAAAAGTTTAAGGCCCCCCAAAATGCGCAAATAACACCAGCTGACATATGCCCTGAATTTCAAATTCCTGCCATTTTACAACCTAAAGCTCATAGGAACTGTATTTCTACCTACCAAAAGAACAGTTAGAAGTTCAAAACTGTGGATGCTCACATGCTTGAAAAGAAATATAAATAATGATTATTAGAAAACTAAAAATCCATATAAGGGGAAGATCATGAAATACACGATAGATGAGAACAGCTGAAATCATATGCTCTCTCACCTTTTACAATCAAAAGCTCTCCACCTTTACAATCAAAAGCCTCTACAAAACTGGTTATCTGCTTCTAATCTTCCGGAAGCCAGAAAAAAACGAAAACTCGGCCAAAATTTTACTTCTCATGGAAAAACTGGATTCCTAATCTGCAAGCTTAATGGAATGAATCGCTACTCCATTTAGGCCAGATGGGATGCGCCCCCATCTACCCACACGCGGTTCCTGACAAACAAATATAGAAGCACATGAGAATAAGGGTCTATATAAACATTAATCTATAAATGCCTGTTATGAAGCATGGGAGCATGAATGCATATCCACAGGCACACATGGGAACGCGCACACGCACGCAAAGCACATACAAATCTTTTCATGAGTTTCACAAATTCTTCTCTATTATCATTTCATTATTTTGTTTGAGTGTTTTAAAAGCCAGCCTGCCTCAGCACCTTGAGGTGAGCCAAGACCTTAGGCAACTCGCATAGGGCTAGGCAGGTGCCTAGACAAGATGCCCTCCTAGATGGCCAAGGCGCAGCCTAGCACCTTTGCCCGCCTAATTAAGGGTGGCAATGGGCAGGGCCAGGGCTGGGCCTAACCAAAAACAAATGAAGACAAATCAAAGAAAAAACAAATAAAAAAAAAAAAGGGGGCCGGGCCTGCACTAGCCCCAGTCTAGGGCCACATTTTGTGGCCCAGACCCTACCTTTTTAGGGCCGGCCCCCTGCCCACTGCCAGCCCCATGCCTAATGGCCCAAGGTGGACAACTTGTGCCCTAGCCCAAAGGCAGAAAATGGCTTCCGACAAAGGCATTTCTTGACTTTTTCACCCCTAAAGTGAGAAGAGTTTTGGGGATATTCTGCCCCAAACCCCTTGTGCATCATTTAGAGAGAAAAACTAATTCAACAAAACCATGTGTGAGATGTTTTTTTAAGATTGAGAATTTTTTTTATTATGGGTTCTTTCGAAATCGAAAAGTATAAAAAATTATTATTTATAAACCTTGGAAGTGGTGGCAAAAAAGAGGTGTCTCAGCTACCAAAGCTCATAAATTCAATCCAAGTTTGATTGGGACTTGATTTGTAAGGTTGGAGTATTTTGATTATGGATTTGGGGATTCATGTAATTTTCAATATTGCGTTTGGATTTGTTTGTTTTACAAGATAGCCATTTGTTTTTTGTGGCTTTTTTTTCAAATTTGGGTCTGGATTTGTTTCCCACTTTCAAGATTGGGTTTGGGTTTAAGTTTGACATTTAATTAAGAATGAATTTAGGTTTTGTGATTTTCATCTAAGTTTATTGCCCATTCTCCATTTTTTTGATGATTTTTCTCAATATTTGGTTTAGTTTAGTGATTCATGTGACTTTCTGGTGTATGATGGTCATGGAGATGGCATGGACCGAGTATGGCATGTAATGAATGTAATAATTTAATACACAATTCCATACAAAATACCATGTTGTATGATTAAGTCTGAAGTGATTGTTATTGTATTTCAAATGTAACTTTCAAGTTTGGGCAGGTTTCAGTCTTCTAACATTTAATAATTCGACTTTCAAAATCCTAGTTTGAAATAGCACAAACAATACCGCACATGAAATGTCGATTACCACCCAGGCGACGCCTTCTGCAATTTAAAACATTGTTTCCTTTATGATTATATGTTTTTGCCCCCTTCTATTAAATTTACATATAATTAGGGGAGCACGAGCAGTGAGACAATGCATAAATATCCTGGGAAACGTGATAATAAGTTCTACCAAGAAATTAGCTCTACCCTATAAACATCCAGTTCTCTTCCCTGATTGAACAATTCTGCAAGGCACTTGTCCTATTCTTTCTGAAAAGAGAAGAGGAAGGTTTTAAATTGATCTGCGAGATGTGTCTCATTCAGACATGCCCTTGCTGCCACCCAGTTGGAGTATGGACTATAAAATCCATAATTCTCTTTAACTAGGCATTCCACAATCCAAAAGCGCCCTAGGGACCAATTTCACTGCGGAAAGGGTTCCCAAGAGAGCTACTATTGAAGTTTAACTACAAAATCTGCAATAGGAGCTTACCAACATCAACCATTTTTCCTTTTGCTCATAGGACTCGAGCATTGTGATGGGCCTCGTGAAATCACAAGAGCAACTGTCTTCCAGTCCCGAATCCATGTGAAAGAAGAGAACATTGACGAAAAATATTAAGTAACAAAGCGCCACTGTCTTCCATTCTCAAATCAATGTGATCGAGCAAATCAGTGGAAAACACGACATTACTATCTGTCAAACTCTATTGATAGAATGATAACCTCTCCAAGAGTAGCTAGGATATCAATTTTCCATTTTCTGCCTCCCTCAGACTTTGGATGAGCACCAGACCACTATTTCCAAAATGCTCACAGCAATCTTTAACTCATGCATCTGGATTTAAATACATTATGCCAGATAAGGGAAAACATACCTTAGGAGCACCTCTCATACCATACATCTTCCCAAAACATAAAAGCACAACCATTACCAACCAATTCTGACTAATCCCCTTCTTGAATCCCAAACTTGACTATCCAAAATGTCTCCAACCCCAGAGAATTCACACTGCCTATAATGATACCCACTCAAATCCCTAAGTCTCAATGTGGCCTCCTAATAATTTGGAAGACGCTACCATAGAAGTGTGTTATTCATCTCCTAATGACCGCCTCCTGCAAACTGCCCAACTCCGTACCAAATAATCAGAATTACTTCCATAGAAGCACCTCATTCATCTGTTCATTAAAGCAATTTTTCGTCTCCTAACAACCAGTTTCAACAGTCATCATACTCACTGCCACAGAAGCACCTTATTCATCTCTTGGAGCCTCTTAATCACTCAGTCCCTTCTTTTGATGCATATTGCGCCCACGTGACTGAATGGAATTCATCAAAATTTCGCCTCACTTCATGAAACTGTCATAATACTTCCCCCCTTTTTCTCAGGAATAAAAGCAAAGAAGGTATAGGAACCTAGAATGCACCTCATGGTTCATACCGTATCCCCTTCCTTATTCAATTTACCCCACATCTTATCCCCACTATGAGGCTCATTATGCCCAACTCCAACACAAATAATCATATAATTTGTTATTTTTCCTTTTATTTCCTCATGTTGTAATTTTCATGATGGCTTCCGTCATTTTTTCCGAAAATTTTCATTTTATCACATGGTCTTCAATGATTCAGGAATAAATGGAAGTACAACCACTACTACGATCATTACATGCAAATACACAGGAAAGACCTTTTACAAGAGAGAGAGATCACCAAAAGATAAAGTTTCATAAATTAAGACTGACCTGTCCAACTCCGGCAATGAGGAAGCGCCCAGATTTTGCAAAAGCGAGGGAATTTGCAAAACCAACCTGTTAAATGGCAAGGATCACTAAATTACTATAAAATTTGAGGATATACTTGCTTGATCATAAAAGTCCAAAACACAATTCATTGCCTAACTTGCAACTAGAAATAATAGTCCTTTATGAAGGCAAAATGACCAAAATTTAATTCAAACTTTACTACCCCAAGTTGAGGCAGGATATTAAGCTCCTCTCTATCTTTAGTCAAAATTGAGTTCATCAAAACATAGTCATGCCCCAATTGATAAGACAACCATGAGGTCCTCACTGAAAGCTTTCACACCTCAGCAACAAAAGCAAATATAGGCTCTTGGGGACTCATAAATAATCAAAATCCCAATTGCATGATCTAAATGGCCATTAAAGTGGATAAAGAAACAGGGTTAAGAGTCTACAACTGTTACACAGAAAAGAAAAAAGACGTGTGAGGAGAAAGAGAAAATAGGGAAAAAGAGGGCAAAGAAGGGGGGGTGTTAATGTTTGCAGTGAATAAAATATGCACAATAATTTTAAACAGGTGTTGAAACAGGGAACCCATTTTACTGAAACAGTTTAAAGAATGTACGGAAAAAAGGAACAAATGTTTGAAAGGAGCTCCAGCTATTGAAGAAGAAATGGATGTGGTCTATCACTAGCAAAACAGAAACTATCAACTCGAGCAAAGCAATCATTGAATAAACATGGCCTTTCAAACACATCCCATCTATGATCAAGCACTATGCTATTGGAAAAGTAATGGCACATTTCGAATTTTTTCTTCTTAAACAGAAGTATGATGCTTATCTTGATATAAGATGATATCATGATAGTAATTAAAGAAAATTTTGCAACGTTCAAGAGTTCATTAAAAAACACTACATGCTGAAGCCCAAAACAACCATTCATCCAACCTAAAATAGCCAGCACAGAATCAACCACTGCATAAATGTTAACCTCATTAAAAAAAAAAAACCTACAGTTCAGAGGCCCAAAACAACCATTCATCCAGCAAATCAACATGAAAATAATAACCACTTTGTCATAATATTATTGACCCATGTGATTCTAAATGTATAAATGTTTTTCATCGAATTAAATTGCCAATATAGAACAGGACATTTATCAGTGGGAGATGTAAGCAATACCAGGGGTACATAATACAAAGGCTGAATGCTTTTATTAACATTATTAATTGCCCATAAGCGAACCATGCCATTGCCAGCTCCTGATGCAGCAAGATCACTTCCTCGACAAAGTGCAACTGATCCGACCCACGACTGCACTGATGAACTGGAGCTTACTGGCATGGAATGGTTATTTTCTGCATTAACATCACAATGGCATGTCAATTCATGCAATGCAACTAAGGAATAGAGCAAAATGCTCATCTGTAAAGGTCATGTAAGTAGGGTAAATGAAGATAAAAAATATAATGTCAAGGAAATCAATAAGAAAGGAATATAAGAGGATTAGACGAGAGATTCTAATGCAAGAACACAAAACTTGCTGTAGATCAGTGTTTGAAAATTCGGTGGTTGTAGATCAGTGTTTGAAAATTCGGTGACCCGATCCGGATCTCTTGGTTGTAGATCAGTGTTTGAAAATTCGGTGACCCGATCCAGAATCAGGAGATCCGGATAGGGTATCGTCCAGACCATCCCGGATCCAAAGAAAAAACGGGATTCAGCCGTCTGTACAGTGAAAACAGGGCTTCCCGACCGATTCCACCTTTTTTTTTTAAGGTTTTCTATTAAAATATCATGTGTTGGCCGCACCAACCTCGTAGCCCTTGCCTCATTTTCTTCAACTCACACGTAAGCTTGCACTACTTTCCAGCACATCACATTTACTTTGTAATAACGGTGATCGTTTAGCTTTTTATATGCCGTCTTCCTCCCACATCTCTTCGATGCGGGATAAATCAAATGGAGTTTCAACACCATCTAATAGACTAATACTACTACGTACTCAGCCATTAGTTCATAGGATAATATTATTAATATTAAGCTATTAGCTTATGAGATTATGATTAATACTAGGTTATTAGCTTATGAGATTATATAATTAATACTAGGCTATTAGAAAATTAGGATTAAAATGGAAAAAATATTACTAGCTCATAGGATAATAAAAAAATAATAATAATACTAATACTAGTTTATTGACCATTAAAAAAAATAATAGTTTACTAGATATTTTAAGAGAAAAAAATAACACTAGCTCATATCACTTTAGAATCTAGTTCAAGTGGCTTTATCAGTTGAAATAAATAAAGAAATGAATTTATTTATTTCTTTTTATTTTATTCAAATATGATTACAAATTTATGTTTCTATATTCTATATTCTTGTCCACACTATTTATTACACATTGGATTTATTTATTTGTGAGGGTCATACCCTTGTTTTTTGAACCACGTTTATTATAATATTATAATTAATAATTATATTAATTACATTGATAACCAACACTTATATTTTATTTAGTATTATATTTACATTACAAATTATATAATGTATTATTTTTTGTTATAATTGTAAATTATATTTTTTTCAAATTAGATAATATTAGAAGACAAATTTCAAATTTCAAATTTATTCTTATTTGTATAGTAAAATGACTATAAAATATAAACTAATAATTCCAATTTCAACATATAATATTATAATTAGTTAGGTTGTGATAATTTTAGACAAATAAAGAGAATTAATAACTGTTTGATGTGATATTGATTTCACTTTATATGGGATTTTTTTAAATATTATAATATGGAAGTGTTTTCTAATATTTTTAAATTATTTTGTTTCAATATTACAATACTATATTATAACTAACAATCATACAAACATCCAGACAAAAGATCAACATCTCAGTATTCCCTATTTTTATAAAATAATGAAAATACATAATGCACCACTCCTAATTTCTTTTAGAAACTAAAAGAACACTACTTTTAGAGATTTATAGTGATTTTTTTAAATCTTTTTGGGACAAAATTTGCCAATTCGGCCGATTCTCCGATCTGATCCACCAATTCCCCAATCCGACACAGGTATGGGTGTGACCGATCCGTTTTTTTAAACACTGCTGTGGATAGTGAAGACCCCATGTAAAGGGCCAAGGTGGTTGGAGGGCCGGAGGAGGCAACCTAGGAGATATAGAAGCTTTATTTTGATAGCGTCTCCTTTGACTCTCCTGGCTCTAAGAAGTCAATTTCAAGGTCTCTTGTTTAATCTGTGTACTTTTTTCTCATGATTTTGAGGCCTCTGTATAAATGTACCAGTAAGCCTTCTTTGAGATTAGGAATTACAAAAGGTACGCTTTTTTCAAATCGATACACACATTATTGCACTATAGTAACCTCGTTTGGTTGTACCTGAAATCACTCCATCTTTCTTCTCTAAATCGTTTTGATGGTTGTCCAAGCTATGGGCATTTTTCACTATACATGTGGGCTTCTTCCTTAGCATGCTCCAAAGCTCAATACTTCCATCATCTGAGCCTGACAGATACTCCTCATTGCTGACAAAACAGGCACACTCCATAGATGCATTAGGTGCCCGGAAGACTAATTGTGATTCCTCTGGAACCTGGCATGTCAACAATGACATAAGGAACTCCAATATTACAAGCATAGAAATACCACAAACAATATGATGTAACTTGCATAAAAAGGAACAGAACTGTAACCTTTGCAGGTGAACAAAGTCTAGATGGGCTGCATCAAGATTACTGTGCAGAAATTCTCTCATGACTTCACATCTTGAATTTGAAATAAATAAGAGCGGTAAAACATGCTCATAGCCATGTGATTGATGCTCCAATTTTGATGTTCTTACTTATGGTCTTTTCTGCCAAACTCAGGTTATGTGTGAGGGTTAAGGGTATGCTCATGTGTGCAAAAACATTCTATGGTTCTGTGGGTCAATATTATAGTAATTGGCCGATCTCCAAATTCACCACTCTATTAGGTGAAGGACCCACAAAGGAACCAAATCAATTTTAGTTGGAGGAGAGTGTTTTAGAGGTTGTTTGAAGCCTTTGTGGATTTCTCACCGCATCGAGAATAATGGATTTAAGGGAAGGCCAGTTGCTAAAGTATTGACCTAGGACCATATAATCTTTTTCCTCTATATATTGACCTATTCAAGAAACTGATGAGGTATACACCAAGTTATACAAGAAGCACAGATAAATCAAGTGGGACAAAAGAAGAAAAAAGAATATATGGAGGGTAAAGAAATAAATTTGGAGGAAGTCAGAGTCAGCCAACAGAAGACAAGGAGTTTCCAAGAGAAATCTCATTAGAACGCACCACGTCCAGCTATTAATCAGCTACACATTTCATTTCTTTCAGAGAATAAAATCTTGCAGAAACCACTCTTAGAAATAATATCCTCCATTATGCAACTCTCCAAAGTTTGGATATGTTGGGTGGATCATCCACCCCACCAACCCCAATCCGGTGAGTCGAATCAGAAATCTGGCCAAAAAGAAAAAGATAAAAAAAATGATATATAGCATGTATCTCTTTAATCATTTAGCAAGGAGGGCTGAAGTGATTAGTGTATTTTGCAGCCTTCTTAAGAGGTGGAGTTTCATTTACCTCCTACAGCATTTTCTTTTTTCTAAGCTTAAAAAAAATTAATAAGAAAACATTAGAGGATTTTTAAAATGTGGAGTGCTTGGTGGGGAATTGAACTCTCAGCCAAGGGTTATCAGTGCTAGTCGACTGAGCCATTGAGCTTAGTTGACATAATAATACCCATTATATATTATATAGCTAACCTTAATTTAAATAAGCATTAATAAAACAAAAAGGTTTGAGGTTTTTAAAAGGTGGAGTGTTTGGTAGGGGAATTGAACCATCAAACAGCGTCCTAGCCGACTGAGATATTGAGCTTACTTGATGTAGTAATACCCATAATACACTATACATAAGAAAACCGGGTGATTCAGACAAGGAACCGCAATCGTGCCTACTGATTTGGATCGACCAATTCTAATTCAAGTCGTGTTTATTTTAACATAGTGCCAACCAAATGATGCTAAGCAAGTTCCCCTCCTTCAATTCTTGTCCTTCGACAATAACAGACAAACTCTAGGAGTGGTTAATAGAGCAGTGGGTCAGTCATCAATGAATCAAATGTGCCAGTCAGTCCCAAGAAAGGTACACCCATGGGTTCCCCATCAGTTGATAAATAAAAAATGTTGCTGATTTGATGGGTTTAGGTTGATCACATCGATAGTGTTTCCTAATTGAGACATGAATATTTCCTCTATACTTTGCTAAATCTATGAGGCCAAATGAGCTAGAAACAGCACTGAATGGGAATTCGAACATGAGACAGTGCTGCAATTGTCAACACCGTAGCCAAGCATATGCCCGAACAATGATAAAAAAAATGCTATGCAGTGCCTAGGTGGTCAAGGGGGATTTGGCTGTCTAGGCACTAGGCAGTTGTCTCGGCTTCAGGCATCCACACACGCACTGCGCGTGCACAACAAAATCATTGAGTCATGCTTCAGAATTGTAATAATCTGTATGTAAGATTTAACTAACAAACCATAAAGATAAGATTTAACTAACAAACCATAAAGATAAGATTTAACTAACAAACCATAAAGAGTAAAAGATATTAGCAACAATATACCCAATATTCGAAATATCATATAGCTCAATATGTTAAGCTCATGGCTCTAAGTCAGGTGTGAGACCATAAAGTCATAAACTTAAAGTACTCAAATACTGAAACACAAAACTAAAAGTACATAGTCAATATATATATATATATATATATATATATATATATATCCACAAAATAGTGAATATCACAAAAATAAAACCTTTCTTGATATTGACAACAATCCAAAAATTATGTTTGAGAAAACTGCTTAAATTTTTTGATATTGATTTTTTAAAAAAAATCCATAAATTTTGAAGCCCGCTCTGGCCTCAAGAGCACTTAAAAATGGGCACCTGTGTATGGGGTTCCCACAATCCCCCCAACCCCAGGGAAAAAAAAAGAAAGAAAGATACTTTTTCCCACTAGAAAGAGGGGAATGATGAAAGTACCCCTTGATCAAGGGAAATTTCAGCCCTCGGGCTGACCAACACCGGTGCAAGGTACCGCTAGGTCCACTGCCTAAGTGATCAGTATCAACCTAGGCAGGGCACTAAGGCAGCCACCGTGCCTTGGTTCGGCCACCTAGGCAATAGGCAGGCCATTTTTTACAACATTGTGCCCAAATTTGCATCTTTATAAACAATAGAAAACAGGACTATATATGACTTTTCTTTTCAATTGACAATATGACCTGCATGTCCTAGAAAATTATAAAATTTGTAATAAGATAGTTTAACCTTCTCTTTTTTTTCTTCTTTTTTTTTGTTTTTGCTTTTTTTTTTTTATAGACATCTTAATTTTTTTTACTTCTACACAAACATCAAAGGTATTTTACTAACTTCTAGAAAAACAATGATAATAGAACAGTGCTCACAGAATTATTATGTTAAAAACATATCACTAAAGCCCACCTTAAACAAACGCAAGGTTCTGTCACGACCAGCAGTCAAAACACGTTCTTTCCAAAGGCAATCAATTGTTAGTATCTCACTCTGGTGACCAAATAACGTGTCCATGTAAGTCCTGTCTTCAGCACTCCACAGCTTAATAGTGCGATCAAAAGATCCTGACATAAGCTGTGAAGTGCCCTGCCTGAAAACTAGACAAGACACCGGTCCCCTATGACCTGGAAATGCCTGTTACAAAACACAAGATTGCAGAGTCCATAAATATCATAATAAAATACTGAACTCAAAATACCTTTTTGAGAAATAAGCTTAGAAGAGTTAATTCAAGGGTACCTGAATATGCTCCCTTGTACGAGTATCCCACAAATGGATATGCCTATCTAGGCCACCACTGGCGAGATAGCGACCATCAGAGCTGACAGATAATGCTAGAACATGTTTGCTCCATTTTATTGAAGGGTTTTGAGGGTTTTTTGCTCCATGAGAAATCAATGTTTCGTGGTTTGGCCATTGATACTTCTCACTTTTTCCATTTTCCACATCCCAACAAAGAATTGCCCCATCTTTGGAACCAGAGAATCCCTTTTTGTCATCCTCTGCCAAGCAAACTGCAGTCACAGACTGCCGATGTCTTTTTAGGACATGAAACTCCTCAATAGCCTTTGGCTTTTGAACCCTACAAGATGTCAAAAGCAGTCGATTTTCCATTTTCACGATCCAGGATAGAAAAACTTAAGTGCTTATTTCCCTATCTTCTAAATGGTTTCAGGGTCATCACATACTTCCCACGCAATAAACCGCATGAATTATCATTAAAGTGTTTGTAAGAGCATTTACATTATCTTTTGACAATGAAAGATGTAAAAAATATTTTAAATTATACAGATGTCATTGAGAGATGCCACTTCTAAAAAAAATCACATTGAGATCATGAATTTATAACAATAATTGCAAGCTGAGCCCACCATAAAGCTTCATAAAGCTTCATTCTATTCTACTATAACTTACTGCCAAATTGGCATGTTATAGGAAATACCTTCATGTAACCATGCTTAAGTCAATCAAAGTTCCTTTAGAGTTTCATGTACTAGCATCCAACAACAAACCCAAAAAGGCATACAGAGTCAAAATAAACAATAATATACTAAAATAATACTTCAGGATAGCATTCACATTTCCGCTGCAAAAGGACTTCAATTCTACTTCGATAGTCTTTCCCATGATACAATCAAGCTTCCATAAATGGATGTTAGGATTATAAACAATGAATGCATACTTCTTTATGAAGACTTTTTTATGCATACTCGTGTCTTATTGAAAGAAAGGATACCATGTCCCTAACACGTTAAAGCTCATCACATTTTTATTTTCACAACTCTAAGATGACTTGCCATTAGTCAAAAGATCTATCATGGACTCATAACATAAAATTTGGCAGGATGCTTACTTGGAAGATTGCAGAGCCGGTAACAACTATACAGGTATCAAATAGCTTTCAATGTGAGTATATCATGACATATGTTGCATGTAACTACAGTATACAACTCTCGACTTGGATGAATATGCAGTAACATAATTTTCAAGAGAATCAAGACATTTACAGTTTCCTAGAATTCAATGAAAAAAAAATTGAAGCCCCGCATTCATCTTTCAAATACAAAAGGATATTGCAAAAATTGATGTATCCTACTAACATTTGCATCTATGCTGCAAAAGAAGGTGAAGTACATATTCGCAGTCTTTGCACTCAATTAAATAAAAAACAAACTGAATCCACACAGGGAATTAAAAGCATCCATTGCCCACCTAAATGAACTAAAATCCAATTATGACAAACAAATCCATTGCCCACCTAAATGAACTAAAATCCAATTATGACGAACAAATCATCTGAATCCAATTCACACAAAAGAGAGAAAAAACTATATGAAACAGTAATGACCTGGAGAATGCCAAAGGATTCCTTCTTCCATTAAATAAATTAAAAGCCAATTCCTTTTTCTATGTTTAACTAAAATCCAACTTTATTGCACCAGAAGAGACCGGAATAAACACCAAATCCACAAAAAGTAAAGCAATTCACTAACACCTATACCACTTGTTTCTCTCGAACATTTACCTCGACGCAAGCAATCTCCGAGTACGCCCACTTTCCTCAAGTTGTTCTTGCTGCAAAAGCTCTGCAACCAAAGAATCCCTTTTGCCAAGCCTCTCAGCTTCAGTTTCTTGACCAATCCCTTCTTCTTCTTCTTCTTCATCCTCGGCCTGTCCCTTTGTTAACTCCCTAATCCTTTCCAAATAATCTTTGGCATATATTAGACGTTTCTCAGCTGCTGTTTCAGTGTTTTCTTGCCCTAATTCCTCTTCCTCGCTGTTTTGTGAGAACCCAGCTTCATCTTCACTTTCTTCACTGATCAAAGCTTCATCTGATTTTTTTTTTCGCTTCGGTCCAGACTCAAAGAAAGAGTCTTTCTTAAAAGAAACCTTCTGTTTCTTCCTGGCTCCATTTGAAAGGGATGATCTCTTACGATTTCGATCCTTCATGTTCAATGTCTTATTGCTGTCAAATATGAGATAAATCCATTCAATGAGAGAGAGAGAGAGAGAGAGAGAGAGAGAGAGAGAGAGAGAAGAAGTAAGTAAGAACGTAATAGTAATTAAGTTAGAGAGTACGTACCTACCTAACGAACGTCTACGTACGTACGAAAGTAAGGTCGGACGTACGTACGAGA